ACACTATTACAAAAAGTGTGTTTTCAACAAAGTTTTGATCATGCTGATAATTCAAAGGCCTTAGAAATGAGTATGTCGAATATGAAACAGTAGGCTTTATAAGGGTTGACTTAATAGATCTGAAAAAGGACTTTCATGTCATTGACCCATTTTTGTGCAGATTTTGTGGAAAAATCTGTGGAATGGATTTAAACATATAATGCCTTATATAGCTACTACACTCTTATTAGTAGGTCAAAGTATTGTTAAATTAATTTCAACTATTTAATAATCACATACAGTAGGAAGCACAGAATGTGCATCATTTTATGATTGACAGGTTGTCAAATTCTGCTTGAAGTAAATCTGTGAGTTCTGTGGGTGCATATACGTGTGGGTCTAGCGATCACTGTCCAGTAAAGCTGCTGCAGAAGCTGCTGGAAACAAGTGAGGCAATATTGCCACATCTTGCCCTCAAATCACGACCCTCGGATGTCAGTAAGATGTCTCGTTTGGCTCACATCTAGTCAGGCTCAGAATCTTTCTGTCAGCATGTTGCAGAACAAGGAGAGAGTTTGACCTCAGCCAGCTGTGTCCAAAAAGCTGATGTGAGCCATATGACCAGCGGCAGAAAAAAGCAAAGCTGATGTGCTTTCATAACAGCTTCATAATTAACAAACATATGGCACTCCTGTCAAACATTTAGAAATAGAGCGTGTTCTGTTTTTTCATGTTGCGTCATGCGACTCAGGCTCAAATATTTTCAGCCATTCATTGTGACAGCCTTGTTTATTTTTATAGCAGCTAAGTGTGTTTACTGAGATTTTAATTAGGCTAATCAATTATGCTTTTAATAACAAATTGTGACAATGGAATTCATTAAAAAATAATTTAAAAGGCTCATTCTAAACGATGCACAATAAATCTATATAATCACTGTTATATAAATATGATATGATATGATATATGAAACTAAAACTGAAGTAAAAAACTATTAAAAGAAACTATATAGACATATGTATTTTTTTTAAAACTACTAAAAATGATAAAAACATAAAATATTAAAACTTTAATATTTACGTATATTAAAAGTAAATATAAAAATTTAATTTTCATAAAAACGATATAGTAACACAGATATGAACTCATGGCCTGAATTTGCTTTACAACTACTTTGACTTTCTGATATTGATATATTTCCTATTTAAATAGTAATTTTGAGAGAGATGTATCTCAGGTCTCATACCCCTTTTTTAATTATTCCTGCTAGCAGGTGATCTCACTGGTGGGCAGGATATTCTCGTTCTAGAGAGCATTTGATTGGATACAAATTTCTATAGTGCAGGATGAGTCACTAATATTTTGCTCAGTTTTCCTGGAAGAGAAAGACTGTAAATTTTAACTGCATATGCAAAATGTGAATCAGAAAATTAGAGCATTAAATAGCTATTATATAATGCAGTGGCTCTCAGAGAATCTATAATAAAGCCATTATAAAATACATAATGCACAGTAATAAATTTGCAATAAAGCCATAATGAAACATTAATGCAGGGCTATGAGTGACATCCAGTGAAATAACCGTATCCTCACTGGTCTGTTCTCATTTTCAGCCTATAACTGACTTCAGATTTGATTTATGGATGGCATTACACTGGGTCTAAGTGAACTATAATGATCATGTATTTCCTGTTGATGCCAGTAATTGGGGCTGGGCCGTAAACACGAAGCGCTCTGTTGTCCTCTCAGTATATGCTTTCAAACAATCAAAACCCATTTCTGTTTTATTTTAATGTACATTAGTCTAAAGTTGATAAGCTGAAAATATAGCCTAATATTTTAATGTGAGTCTGCATTTTGGACATTTTGAAATAAACAAACCAAAATAAATAAGTAATCTGTAACCCCAGCAGGGTCAGAGCGAACTGAAGTGTTCAATCTACAATTTTATTTGTGTAAGTGGAATTAGCTTTCAGTGCAATTAAATGGAAGACACTAATAGACAGACTCTAACCAGGAAAGAGTCATAGCACCCCCTAGTGACTGATATGTTCGTTACACGTATTTAAATTCGAATAGGGATTCTCTCTATGTAAAAATAATCGTAATATTTGTCAATGAAGGAAGCCATTTCTAATACTTATATACCAGAGGACAATGCTGTGCATCGTCTTCTTCAAATAAATAGCTAAAAAACCTCACAAACATGCATTTAAACCTTGGAATCGTGTCAGCTGAATGTGGTTTCCGGCCTCAACATGTTCTGTTAGTACATGAGTTGAATGGTGTAGCAAATAGAAGTTAAGTGTGTGATTCATTACTAGGGCTGTTGTTTTGTTTTATCTTGTGTGAGCTGAAGTTTGTGTATATGTGTGTGTGTGATCGCTCTCATTGGTTCTGAATGTCAAGAGCTTGCGTGTCTTCTGAAGAGGTTCTTTTTAATTTCGTGAAGCGCTTGTACTTCTCTTCTTCGTGCTCTACCATGACAACCATACTCAACAAGCAGTGAAGAAAACTCCTAGTGGCCTGATTGAAGCACCCATAAACACTGCAGTAAATATTACTTCTCAGTTTAACATATTTTTAAAAAGGGTCAGAAAGTAATAGCCCATGGATTTGATCCTTTTGTAGCCTATTTACAATTGGGTTATGTTTAATTTACAGTATAGGCTATTTAATTCACTGTATCAAAAAAGTATTTTTAATTAAACAATTTTAATTTAATTTAAAACCATAATTAGTGGAATGCCACATTCCACACATGTGCTGCCATGATTTTCCCAAATTACAAATGTTTATTTTATTGTATATTGTATATCGTATATTTTATTTTCTTATTTGGTAACACTTTATAATAAGTAAACAGTACTAAAGTATTTAAAAATTAAGTTCTTCATTCGTTGTCATCTTAATTAACACATTTTGTATTAGATAACCTTGAGTTAGATAACATTTTATTAACATCTTAACCATAAATAGTTCTCACTTTAAATGAGGTCACAGGAAGCCGGAAAATGTCATTAATTAAGTGCTTTAAAACATCCTTTATTGGACTTTTAATTGCATTTGTATTCAGTGTTCCTTAATTATTTTTTTTTTACAAATAAATCAACTTATCCTCAAAGCTAAAAAATACCACTTAAAAAGTAAATAACATAATGCTCTCAATATAAAATACATACAAATACTCATTAGATCATTATGTTGTTGCTAAAGTACAAAATGCAGATATAGAATTAGGGGACACAATATACAGTTTGAACAGTATAAAAATCATAATTTCAATGGAAAGTACCTATAAAATGTTTTTTTTTTTTTTTATTGTAAACATTTTAAGAAACACTGAATACAAATACAATTAATGTCCAATTGGTTTAAAGCTCTCAATTAATGACATTTTCTGTGACCTAATCTAAAGTGAGAACTGTTTATGGTTAATAATTTGTTAACAAGTATTATATAACTGTTTACATATGAGCAAATTAAACAATAACACTTTGTTAATTACAGTAACAATGAACAATGAACTCACCATTTGTATATCTATTAATGTATTAACTGCCGTTTATAAATAAGTGTTTTGTTACAGCCTATACTTATTATAACGTGTTAACATTAGTTTGATAGATAGATAGATAGATAGATAGATAGAAAGTGTAACTTTTATACACTTCAATAAAACTGTAAAGAAAAGTACACTCACAGTGTTTATGTATATGTGGAGAACAGAAGCCCACTTGTCTAGTACTCTTTAAAGTGTACCCAGTGCGCACACACACAAGTGTTTTTATGCTATCTTTCACGCTTACTAGTGAGCCTTCCTCCACAACTGCCTGCCCACCAATGCAAGGTTGTCTTGTTGCCAGAGTTTCCTATTGGGTGGTCTGCATTCCACTTTTTTTCTTCTTCCTTAAGTTCCTTTGGCCACTTTATTGCACTGTGGAGGATAACATAAGCACACAAGTATACACAAACATTTTTTGAGCTAGTTAGAACAAGCACAAGAACAAGCACAAGAACAGGGACTAATTATTGAACCACTCCGACAAGAAAACTTTATTATTGTAACGTAAACCTCTACATTATTGACTTGACTTGACTAAAACTTTAACCTGTTCTCACTGTTCTCGTTTGCTACATCTTTTCTAACTGTTTTGACTTTTCTTTTTCCATATAGTGGATAGTCAAATATACTCAAATCTAATAGACTATACATCTGTATAGGGCAGGTTCAACCAAAAATGAAAGTTTTTCTGAAAACTTACTCACCCTAAGGCTATCCCAGATGAGTTTGTTTCTTCGTTGGTAGAGATTTGGAGAAATGTAGCAGTACATCCCTTGCTCACCCATGGATCCTGCAGTGAATGGGTGCTGTCAGAATGAGAGTCCAAACAGCTGATAAAAACATCACAATAAACCACAAGTAATCAAATTCTCGATAAAACCTCGTCTAGTCTGAATCAGGAGAGAAAATTCTCAGACCATGCACCAAGCAAAAACTTGTGGATTTTTGTGATGCTTAACATTGAGTTTGAACTCTCTGAAAATTCTGACGGCACCCATCCACTGCAGAGGATCCATTGGTAAGCAAGTGATGTAATGCTAAATTTCTCCAAATCTGTACTGATTAAGAAACAAACTCATCTACATCTTGGATGGCCTTAGGATAAATACATTTTCAGCAAATTTTCATTTTTGGGCAAACTGTTCCTTTAAGCCAATAAATTACAGAAAACTAGGCTTTTATAGATCAATTGTAAATGAAAGTTTTTATATAATTGTTTTCTGGAATTTATTTACGCTATTTATTTATTACAAAAACAGCGCGTTGCAGAGAAGTTTGTGCACAAGTCAACTTAAAATAATCTACTAAAATAAATCAATAATAATAATAATAAACTTTCTCTGTAGTGCTGTTCAATAAGAGAGATAGATGCACGAGCTCGTGAGCCCAAGTGTCACTCCATCGCGTGGGATGAATCGCACTGACGTCACTCAGTGAGTCAACCGCTCATCCTTAGTAAAAGTAACGCGGCTGTGAGAAACAACTCCTCTAGTCTCGGCTCATCAGTTATTAAGCTCTGATGGAGGCTACATGTTCATATGGCCGTGTTACAGGTGGAGGAAGGCTCTATGGAGCGTTCTTGAAGGAATTTAAACTGCGCAATTCTTCCTCATTAGCTCATACACACAAAGATCGGGTTTCAGCTCATATCGCAGGTAAGGTGATGAATATATTTAAATATAGCTGGGTTGCAAACTAATAAGTTATGTTACTTAGATGTTACAACAAATAAGATTAGTCCTGCTTCACACTCACTAAATTGGTGTTCGTCACTTGTGCGTCTCTTTGCTATCGCTAAAAAAACACCACTAGATGGCACTATTTGAATACAGAAATGTCTAAGATATTTACATGGGTTGTGTATTATTTGACAACGTATATTTATTTGTATATTTATTTACACTAATTTCTATTTTGTTTATTTATTTGTTGAATTATGTAGACTGTCTTTATGTTGTATTAAAAAATATAAAATATATTTTATTGCTAGAGATCTAGCAGCTGTGTTTTGAAAATCTGACATACCTCATGACATCTTGTCACCTTTACAGAAACAAAACATTATGAAAACGTATTCTCTCTCTCTCTATCTTTCTTGTCATCTGCACAGCTGTCCAGCATCTGGGATTTTTCCTTCACCCTTGCAGTGGGATGGCAAATGATGTCACAAATGCTGATGCATCTGCAGCCAGTAGAAAAGGGCCATTGGTACCAGTTTGTGAAGAGCTTCTTCCTGATTGAGCTCAGGGAGATGAACAGCTTGGAGAGCCAATCATCATGGAGAAGAGGTGGGTCTTTTAACTCTCCCCTGACCAATAATCATGGCTTCCTTAGGGTTAAAAGATGATGACACTGACAGAGCATCATATTTCATGTGTGTAGCATGTTCAGACAAAGCTGTTGCCAAGCAGAGCTGGTTCACGTTTACGGATTTTCATCTAATTTTGGATTTATAATGCTGGCACGAATTGTTAGAATTATTTAAGACATTTCTTATCAGTAAAATATGGTGCATGAAATTTATTATGTAATACTGATTCTTTTTGCATTGTCCCATCTGAATAAAAGTATATCTGTAATTTGATGTTGTTAGTGATCTGAACAAACCTATATCCTGTGTTAAAGTCTATTTTGTGCTGTGGACATGGATGACACTGCCCAAAATTGTGCAGTATGTTAATGAGAGTTGTGTGTGGACTTAAAATACGAGCAAAAAAATCCCATAGACATACAATAAAAAGCCATATCTAGAGACCAGATTTATCTATAGCACCCTAGAAATCATCCAGAATAGCCTAGCAACTCCCTGTAACATAGTGGTGTCAACTTTTAAACAATCATAATCTGGTTGGAATTATAATTCAGAGCCACAGATATGAAGCGTAGCACACCGCCACTCAAAACTAGATGCATCTTTTATGGCTCTGTAGCACCAAAGGAATTCCAATAAGCTATTTCATGCATCACTGTTTAGTGTGAATCTTCTGTATGTCCTTATGCTACTGCGAACACATAAACAGTATTGATTTAGGACATCTTCTGGTTTTTCTCTTCGCATGGAGTCAGCGGTCACATATGGTTTATGGATGTCAGAACTCCATGTTTGACTGACTCAAGTGTGTAGTTCTGTTACCATGGTGAGCATGGAATCCAGCTCAGCCAGACAGAGCGTCTGATTGGCTGGCATGCCAACATTGGTATATCATGCAGCCGGCTGACTCGCCCAATGGAGACCGTGCAGCACTGGAGCTGTTGCTATGGGCAGTCAGACAGGAATCTGTCTAATTTCTTATGATCTGTGTGGTTTTTGTGATGCACCATCTCTGTGTGTCCATCAAATGTTGGTTTGTACTCACCCTGAACACTGTCTTCTCTGCTTATTTGATAGGATGGGGATGGGGCAGATGGGGTACGTGGGTGCTATGCACAGAAAGTCACGTAGGCAAGACCCCCCCTCCTTTCACCCACTGCCTCACTGCCTCAATAGCTCAGTCTAAGTGCCTCAGTCTCAGTCAGAAGCTGTGGGTCTACCCAGCTGTGACCAGACACCTCCAGGAATGCACAAGCATTTCGAATTCCCCTCTGTTCTTCTATGCTCCTCTCCTCTACTATGTCATCCTGTCCTGTCTTATGCTCTACATTTCTCATCTATTCTCAAATCTCACCATCATATTTTTGCTATAATATAACCTATTGTGTTCTGTCATATCCAGTCCATCCATTTCCAACTTTGCTATTCTCTATTCTCAGAATCTATTCTCATATCTCACAATCATTTTTTTTTATATATTATCTATTCACTTCTCCTCCCCTGTTCCCATTCTTTTTCCTATCCCCATTCTTTACTATCCTATCGGACACTATCCTATTCCTATCCCATCCCATTCTATTCTATTCTGTCTTATGGTATCCTTTCCTGTTCTTTCATATCTTGACCTGTCTTGTCCTATTCTATTCTATTCCATTCTATTCTATTCTATGCTATTTTATGCTTTTCGTTTTCCTATCGTATCCTATCCTATCCTGTCCTGTCCTGTCCTATTCATACTCTTTCCTACCCAGTTCTTGCATTATCTTATTCCATTCTATTCTGTTCTTTTCTATTCTATGCTTTTCTTATTCATATTGCTATCCTATAATGATCCTATTCTATCCCTAGTCCTATTCTATTCTATTCTGTTCTATTCTATTATATCCTGTTCCTATTCTTTCTTCTGTCATATCCTGTTCTGTCTTATCCCATGGTTTCTGGTTTATTCTGATCGAGTCCTATTCTATTCTATTCTATTCTATTCTATTCTCATGTCCTATGCTTTTCGTATTCTTGCTGCTATGCTTTCCTGCTATCCTATCTCTATCATATTATATTATATTCTGTCCTATCGTGCCCTATTCTATTCTGTTCTCATGTCCTATGCTTTTCTTATTCTTACTGCTATGCTATGCTATCCTATCCTGTCATATTCTATTCTATTCTGTCCTATGCTGCCCTGTTATCCTGTTCCTGTTCTTTCCTATCATATCCTCCCTAGTAAATAAGTAATATATTTAAAATACATTTATTTCATACTAAGTATAGTTCAAATCTATTAACATATTGACAGATGACTCGAGACTTACTGATATAAAAATTATAATTAAACTTTACTTGGCATATTACTTGTGCACAATGCACTTTTCTTAATATTAAGTCTAAAATGTGTTTTAATGTCACTTTTGATGAGGATTGTACAATCTTTGAATAATATCAGACTTTAAATGCAAAATATTTAAAGTGTACCTGAAGTATACTTGCAATAGTTCCACTTAAGCACAATAAAATATACTAAGTATATCTTTAATTGTACTTCAGCACTACTTCTGCACAATTAAAGTGCATTAAGTACAAAATTAGTTGTTCCAATTTAGCAGACTTTAAGTATACCAGTTTAGTATACTAAAAGTACAATTGCAGGACATTTTATTAAGTACATAAATATAAAAATGTATTTGTAGTATACTTAGCATTAAATAATTGTATTTCAAATACATTTAAGTATATTTATTTTTCACTACAGCTGCCCTGTCTTATCCCACCCTTTCCTGTTCTTTCTGATCATGTTCAATTCGATTTGATTCTATATTCTATGATATCCGATTCTATTCTATCTTATTCATACTTTTTTCCTATCTTGTCCTATTCTATTCTATTCTATTCTATTCCTGTTGTTTCCTATCACATTCTGTCCTGTCCTCTCCTGTCTTATCCTATCCTGTCTTTTTCTATTCTATTACATTTCTGTTGTTTCCTATCATATTCTGTCCTGTCCTCTCCTGTCTTATCCTATCATATCTTGTCCTATTCTATTCTGTTCTATTCTATTCTATTCTATTCTATTCCTGTTGTTTCCTATCACATTCTGTCCTGTCCTCTCCTGTCTTATCCTATCCTATCATATCATATCTTGTCTTGTCCTATTCTATTCTGTTCTATACTATTCTATTCTATTCTATTCTATTCTATCAATATCTTATATGTATTCTATCATATTCCTATTTTTTTTCTTCTGTCCTGTAATATCCTTTGCATTTCCTATTCTTGTTCCTAATGCTTTTCTGCCCTGACCTATGCTATCCCTATTCTGGCCTATCCCATTCTACTGTCTGCTTTTCTTATTTTTCCTATCCTATTGCTTTTTTTTTCTTGTGCTCCTCTCACTTATCACTATCATCTATTAGTACCTATCATTTCCTACCACCTCTAATCTTCTGCTGAAAATTTTGATACCTGATATTTTTTTCATATCAGGTCACACTTATGATTCTCATGCCATAGGCTTACATTGAACAAGCAACCAAATTCATATTGTTGGGAACACTATATCACAGAGACTTGTGGCATGAGCTTTCTTGATTTGGGTTGGTAAGCAAACACCTACAACAACCAAACAACCACCTTAACTACCACAGAACAACACCCTGGCATCGTTATATGTATCAGTTGAGCTCAGAATTGTTAATATGGTATCAGCGCAGCTTTTAGCCCATTAAAAACTTTGTAGTAACTGTAGTGACCACATCCACCGCTACATGGAGAGATGGTTACATCAAAATACCATTACAGACTATAATTATCCCATGATGAATTCCACAATTTCATATTTCTTCAATCAAAACAGATTTAATTGAGCATACAGATATTTTTGAGCCTTTGAAATATACCCGATTCTTTCAGAAAATGGAGTCTTTTGCCACCCTACAGTGAGGTTTAAAAATAGCACATAGTGTGTTGGCCTTGTTCCAAAACACACACATACAAGGCAGACACACTCTCGCTCTCCCACTTTTTTTTCCCACACATTTCCCACCTCCAGGGCTCATATTCGCTGGTATACCTTGACTGACACAGTTTGCTCTCTTCTGATTGGATGAAGTGAGATGACTGACAACTGAGCAGAGCGCAGGAGCAGCAAGCAGTGGCTCCGCCCCCAGGCTGTGCACGTGGATGAGTCTGCTGTGAACATCTGAAAATCAGAGAGAAGAGAGGAGAGGAGAGGGGAAAGAGGGAGGAGAGAAGTGGGGAACAGAGGCGACAGGATTGACTTGGGAAGGAGAGGAAAGGTTTGGAATTGCTTTGAAGGAAAAAGAAGGAGGAAAAACAGGAGAAAGAGGGGAGAGAAAGAGGAGGTGAAAGAAGAGGAGAGGAGGTAAGCCGAAGATTTCAAAGGAAAGACCACCTCTTTTTTTTTTAAACATCTCATAATAGTTAGAGGTACATGCATGGGTTTTTATGCGCAAATTAGCATGGGCATGTGTTTCCATATAGGTGAATGTTGTGTATGTGTGCATTACGTGCACACTGATCAGCACTAAAGCAGTCATTCATTATTTTGACAGCAGTGTGTGTGTGTGTGTGTGTGTGTGTGTGTGGTAGCATTACAGATGCATTGCCTCACATCATCGCCGGCAACTGTAGTTACTGGTATCGCTTACACTGGCTCTCTGGTTCCGTGTGATTAAATAAATGCCATCATGAGATTACAATCCCCATGGCATGCTAGTTTTCATATTGTAAGAAGACTGTCATGCAAACGTTGTTTCAAAATGCACTGGTTTTTTGAAAACGGCATCATTTGTTATGCATGTCAACTCATAGAGGAAGTATGGCTCTGTTATTACTGTGTTTACTTCAACAATCCACTGTATACTGTAAATGTTTCCAGGGGAAAAAAGCATTGGAAGGCTATTTGCACAGGCCTGCATGGGCTTTAATGGCACTCGTGCCGTGGTTATCTCCACATACTGACCT